AGTTTCCTTTCAGTTGCATTTTCTCCGCACCATTTCTCATTTTGATAGCAACTCGCAGCTCCATTACTACATACTCGATTACTGCCGTACATTTTTTAAGATTAAACAAAAAATTGTTCGCTCGCTGAGTTGCATGCAACAGCGCTAAGTATAACATGCCACACGCCAGCAGCCAACAGCCAAGCGTTCGATAATTTTCAGCAAGCTGCGACGCCTCACGCCATGTGTGGCTTTCACAGCGAATAAATTTAATGCATCAATTTAATTCTTTCTGTTTTTGTTACACGTTGCTGTTGCTTTTACCGCTTATGTTGCACAGATTGCCGCTTTGGCGTTGATTTTGCTGCTGCTGTTGTAGCTCACGCTGTGTGCAGCTATAGTGTCGTGCCAACGCTTTTGTTGCATTCTCGGCTGCCGCCCTCATACTACTTGCCACATAGCGGGCTGCTTCTGCGCTGACAAGCGCGCGTTACAACATTAATACACGAACGCGCGCGCACACAAGCACTCGAAACATAAATTTATAAATGTGCATATTTACATACATACATACATACATACATAGTTAGGTATATACGTTTTTATTGCACATACATACTTACAGAGCTTCCTCCTATGCGCGGGAAAACTGCAGGCGCTTAATTGTATTGAAAACTTTACTGAGAGCATATTAAATGGAATTTTAATAAGGATTTATGTACGAAATTTTAAATTAATGACATTCTGCTTTTACACGCAAACATATGTATGTATGCACGTGATTTTGCCCATGCATATACATTCGATAGATATGTATGTATGTATGTATGTAAATAGCTGCATAAACTGAATCATTGCCATATAAGTGCGCGTATGCACTTAATTGTCCTCTGTTTTTTTTTCGTTATTTCGTTAAATGAAATTTTCTTTCACACTTTCCGTCTCTTTTGATTGCTTTTTTTTTGGCTTTCTTCGATAAACACGATTTATACTCATTTCATATTCGTTTTCATTTTCGCTAAAAATGCAAAAGCAAACAAACGAAGCCTTTGTCTTCGTCATCTTCATTAAGATGGAAATTAATTGCGTTTGAACAGGGATTTATTGAATCGACCTAAATACGAAATGGTAGAGTAAAAATAAATTATTTTTTGGCGCGATTGATTTTCCAATTTTCTGTTATAGTTGGTCTTGTGGAATAAGAAATGAGATGAGATGAAATACATACTTATTTTTGACACAATCAACCCGAAAAAGTTTGTCATGCAGACTTCTAAAGACATTTATGCATGCTTCTATCTCAGTTGAGATGCTGGTCTAGAAACTCGTTTTACTTTGAATATTGGCATGGACGACAAAATACCTGAGTTTGTTTACTCTTCTCTAAACTCTTCCGTCTGTTTCATCACTGAATTCAAGGCAGTCAAGCTGTGCAGGCTTGGAAATTCTTAAAAATCCCGTTGATTGTTGAGATTTCTCCCGTTTAACTACGGTGACCATCCGTTCTGTTTTTTGCAGGACCGTACTGTTATTTAAAGGTCTGTCCTGCGTAGGGTTTCAAAACAGTAAACCCCCAAAATGTACTGATTTTTTTCAAGTGTCCTGCCTTTGTCCCGCATTTTCTTCGATATTTTAAAATAAACTTTTCCTAATCGTAATAAAAGCAGCGTCGATAACTAATTGATAACTAAATAAGGGTAAGCTGGTTTTGAAGGTTCAACCAGTCAATGCGTTCTAAATTTTGTACGGTTATGGGCAATGGATGACGAGAAAATGAAGATCAGCGTCAAATATATCAATTACACTGTTCTACAAATTTTGTGGCGATCGCTTAAGAAAAAAAAATGTTTTCCAAGCCAATTTTCGTTTCAAACAAGCTTTTTCGTAATTTTTTCGAAAAACGTGTTTTTATTACAAAAAATTAAAATGCTAAAAATTATCCAATCAACATAAGCGAACTACAGTCTTCTTACAAAAATATATTACTCTGCCGATTTTGATGAAAATTAGCCGAAAAGCTCCTTAAACTGCCCTATAGAAAATTATTAGTGTTACAAGCGACCAAAATCGAAAAAGGTGAAATTTCAATATTTTTTTTTTTACAGTAAATGAAAATCTGATGAGAAATGTAAATGTTACAGAACACAATCTGCACAAATTATATACTTTTGCAAAGTGTCCATCAATACCTTTCGAGCTGTTGGTCGTTTCATGTGATATTGACGATTAACCGAAAAAAGTACTAAAAATTCGTTTTTTGAACAAATCTCGAAAACACTTCTTTGAAACCATGGGTATTTTTTTCGTGTTCAACGACCCAAAGTTTGTATTAAAAGATTTGCTTTACAGAGGTTCTTATTTCGTGTAAAGTAATATGTAATATGCCTTTATAGTTTTGTATATATTCATTACAAAAAGATTAATACCAATGAAGCTAATGTGATTTATGTTTCAAGTTTAAAATTGAATTAATAATTAAGAAATATATACTCATCTTTATTTGAGTAGCGCATCCTTTTAATACTTATTAGTTAGTTTTCCTTTTGTTTGTTTAATATTTATTAATTTTTTATAAAAAATATAGCATATTCTACGTCTAAATCCGATTTAAAAAATTTTTGAAAATTAAAAAAAAAAAATAAACAGGGGTGGCAATTTTTTTTTGTTGACGGTGCTGCGCATTTTCTTCCATGTAAAAGTGTAAAAGTTTTGTCAAGCATACTTTGTATGGAAGAAAATAAAAAATGGAATGTATATATGTAGTATATTTTTGTTATTTTTATACTACGCAATTATATGTAGGTACATTTTTTGAAAAATTGTCCTGCATTTTCAAAATATATTTGTGGTCACCGTACGTATAACGGATGAACAAAATCTATTTTTATACCGACGAAATTACGCCACACCCTCAATAAAAAAAAAAGTTTTCAAAAAACAACGGGATTTTTCAGAATTTTCAAACTTGCGCATAATCATACCAAAATTGAATGGGCTACGAAACTGCATACCCAATAAGATTCTAAACATTCTGAAAAAAAGGTGAATATTTTGTTTGGAATTTCTTCTATTTTTTTTTTTTTGTTAAATTTTCCTGAACTAGAATAGAAAATTAACTAACAAATGTATCACGTCAAACATTATGAATATGTATTGTAAAAAAATAAAACTGTGTATTTGGTTGTTCGTGTTTCCGACAGGGTAGGAGTATCATGTATAGTTTACGAAAAATGACCCTGAAGATGGCACAACGCCGAAATCAGTTTGTCTCCAAACCAAATTTGACAAGGAACTACGAAATAAAACTGCGCTATTTAGGTGAGCGCCACTGTAGTAAAAATTAAAGTGGCAAATTCAGTAATATTTTGTTGAGCAACGAGCATAAAAACTCCAATTAAAAGGGGGCTGAAAGAATTTTCACAATTGCCTTTTTTAATAAAAAAATTTTATTCTAAAAGTAGAAATTTAAACATTTTTTTTTTCAAAAATTACTTGTTTTGTAAGCTATCTTTAGAAGGCTGTAACTTTGTTTTTCTCTGTAGTCAACTCTTCAAATACCTACCCTTCAACTGCGTGCTCTCCCATTAATTTCTAATTTTCCGTGTCTGGTTTCTGAGTATAAAGTCATAAGAACGGGCATTAAGTGCAAAAAAGAAATCAGCAAATAGAAAATTTGATAACAAAAAAAAAAAAAACAGGCTCACATATGCCCGCTGTTTGTTTATTGCCATTTATTAGAGGACACTATATATTATTTACTAAAGTAATTTCATGAGGTTAATACGCGCTAACCTTTATTTCCCAATAATTTTTATAGTAGCACCTGCTTTATAATTTTTTGAATTGTTTGAGGTTTGTTACTCGGAAACCAAAGAAAAAAAGTTGACTGAGTTTAGAAATGCGATAGAAGCCCAAATCAGTAATTTTCTAAGCGTTATTAATTTATTTTTTAAGATGTGAAAGTAGCGATTTTTGTGTGGATGGTGGGCGGAGAAGTTCTTAGTACATAAATTTCATTTGGTTGAAACTATGATTACAAATATGTAAAACTTGAATAAAAGTTCGCTCGTTTTTTACAAATTTATTGTATGTTGGGAATTAGAAAGAGATTTACTGTTGAAAATAATACATTTACTGTGTACCAGCACTCGGCGTGCTTCACTGCGCCATTATAGTACTTTTGTGTTACTTGTAATATTTCATTTACTTTGCCAATTTAATTGAATTTTTCAAACAGATGGCAGCCCTCTTCAAATATTTATCATATATATCAGAAGCATTTTGGAGCTGAAAGCAAAGCATTTTTTGAATTTTAATTTTCTTGTTGATTTTTCAGACTCTTGACGCTGATGCAAACAAAAAATAAAAATAATTAACCAAAAATGTTTTTGTTTTTTTTTAATGAAAGCAATTACTGCAAATTGAAGAAATAAATATTTTAGGCGCTTTTCATTGAAGGTAGCTCTTGTGATATATTTACGGCCGATTCCGCACAAAAGGCTCCGCTCCGCTTCGTTCAGTGTGAACACCAAAAGATTTGCTTCGATCGGCGCCGCTAGGCGCTCTGTGTGAACGTACCTTAAGCATCTTAAATTAAAACCCCCCAAAAAAAATAGAATAGCAATAATTTATTTAATTTGTGAGTTTTTTAACTGACGGACGTTTTCAGAGACTGTAGTTAATTGGCCTTGACAGACTGAATTCTTCCACTATGATATCTTGCTAACCCCTAGATATGAAAACCCCACCTTTTTGTGCCGATTTTCCACTTTCGCATTTCTTTGAAAATTTAAATGAGTTTGCAAAATTTGAGGATTGAATAACATAAAAGGGAAAAAGCGAGTACAAATGGAATACTGAAGTCTTAACTCCCCTCCCATTCTGTATACATATTTATGCATTAAATGCTTAATTAACTTTGTATTTGAGGTTCTTTCACATTGGAAAATAACCTCTTTTTATCTATTAAAAATATTTTTGTTTCTTGTTTATTTATTCACAAACAATCACATTAATTGCAGAGAAGTCTGGCCGGAAAATGATGCATTCGGCGCCATGTCTGCCGCCCCAGAAGATGAATTGCTGCTGCTGCGCGAGATCTACATGCACAACATTGAATCAGGTGAGTACCAAGCAAGCCAGTCGGAATACCCCACTGCAACTCAAAGAAAGTACTCTGTGATGTTTGTATTCAATTTTCCATTACAAACAAACGTACACTAATATTAGCTAACTTAATATTTTATTCGGTTTTGATTTCTTTTTTTTTCAACTGCGAGATATTAATTTCACTTGCTACTTGCAATTTTGACTGCAATATTTCTTCTTTGCATAGGAAAAACGTTTCGTTTTGCTACGAGTACCCTTCGCTGCTCTTCTCGCCACACCTTTGGCGCACTCTCGCTCCTGCTGTCGGGCATTGCATTTGAAAGCATTGCTATGGCATTGGTCAGCGGCCGAAGGGTAGTCGTAGTGTCAAGGATAAACGCTGTGAAATTGTAAATTGTCAGTGCAAGCTGTGTCTGTGTGTGTGTGTGCATTCCGGCTGACAGCAGCTTGCAGCGAACGTGCAACATGCAGTCGTGGCAGTAGAGGGCGGTGCAGCGGAAATTGGTTTGCTGCAGGAAATGAATGAAAATCGTAATTACTGCGTTAATTAAAATAAAAAATCGTGCAGTTTGAGGGTCCCTAATGTTGCCAAAGCAGTGTTGCGCCGCAGCGCTGGTAAGGCAATGCTGCCGCCGTGGCTTGACATTGCATTTTACCCAGCGCTCGCATTTATCTTGCCGCGCTGTCGACGACTGGCTACTACGTAGACAGCTCTCACTGAGCTGCAAGCACTCTACGGCGCACGAAAAGATCTTTAGTAGCGTATTTTTATTTTGTTTTTTAATTATACATTTTCAACTCAGCGCTAGTGAAATACAAAAAAAAAACGATAATGCTGCATTAAATTATTTTATGCCAGCTTGCTTCCTTCCTGCCGTGTCATTCACTGCGCGAATGTTGCGTATACGCCTAAGTGCTCAAGTGCTGAGCTAACGTTCAGCTGACTGTTGCAAGCAAGCAAGCGTTTTTGCATGCTACAATTTGCCGGCATTTTATCTCTCCCTTGACTAACTTCTTTCTGTGCACTCTTTCGCTATTTATCTTTGTGTGTGACTTTCTTAATGTGCCGGTTAGTGGACTGAAAGCAACAAATTATCTCAAACAAATTGTTTCGGTTCATTAAAATTAAACAAAAGTGATGGTAAAGTAAAGCAGGGAAAAGAAGAAAAGCAACGCAGGTAGCAAAAAATACTAACATTGTCGTTTAAATCCAAGTGGCAGTAGCCAAAGAAGCAAAGCTAGTGGCAATGAAGTGTGCTGAAATAAAAATATATAGTAATTTTTACTTGAGCTAAAATAAAAGACACTGCACTTAGTTGCTGCGTTTATGTAATTTAGTATGCAAAGCAGGTAATGCACATAGCTTGTGGCAGCAAGAAACAAGAAACAAAAAACTAAGAATAGTGGGTAGTGCGCCACGTCTGTGAATATACGATGAGAGTACCACTGTATGCATGTATGTATGTAGAAGCAGATTGCCGGCAATTTTGTTAAATAACCACTGCAAATGACATTAGTTGGATTTAATTATAATTTACTAGGTTTTTTTTTTGTATACTTTTGACAGTTGTACAGTAACGCTCCTGCAGATGAGTGGAAAAGGCAAAATATAAACGAATTATGATTTTTAAATGTCTAAGAGATACGTTTTGTCGCATCGTAGCTAAGGAAATTTCTTAGCGATTTAGGAACTTACCCACTTTCTAAGTATGGAATCATCCGTCACATAGCCCGGGTCTTGGCCCATTCGGCTAACATTTGTTTCGGTTTCATCATAATTGTTTCAATAGCGTAAAGCTGACTTCTACTTAGGTTTGTGAAAATCACTAGTTCAGTTTTCGCCCAAAAATTGCAATAACTTGTTAATGACGATATGCTTTTACTAGTTCTGGAAGCGTATTCCAATGATAAGAATACTTATAAATACCAAAAAGAAATATTTAGCAATGGCTGCAGAATTTTATCACCCTTAGGGTGCCATTCGTTCGTAAATATAGGTATGTACATTGACATATTGAGGGCTTATATTCTGCACTCTCTATCTGCACTTCACAAAAATGAGTTTCTGATATAAAAATCCACCTAAGGCTTAACTGTCACCAGTGATTTTAATGCTGACCTGGTATAACGATGGATAGAAGAATTTACTATTAGATTGCAAAGTCAAAATTAACATCAGTGGTGACAGGTATCTACGCCCCAGATGGGTCGTTTTTGTGAAAATTGCAGATTAATTAATTTTTACTTTTTTGGTTGCTGTCATAAATTTTTTTATACATAGTACATATTTATGGTGTTTTCACAATCCTCCTACATAGATTATTCGCTGAAATGCAGACAATCTTTTCGTTTTAAAGATGTGGAAATGTCCAATTTCTATTTAAATCATACAACTTATAAAACACACATACACACCTACTTTATAATATATATGTATGTATTATACATTATAGTATTTTGGCACTTAAACTTTTGCTAAGTGCTTGGCCGAGATTTTCCTCCAATTTGTGGTGTGCGGCCTGATGTTGTTACACAAATGGTGGGACCTATAATTTAAAGCCGCCATTGCCATTGTCGAGTTGCGAATGCTGTTAGAAAAAAACACATACATACATATATTTATGTATAATGAATAAATTACCCGTTATTTCAACATTTGTATGTACTTAACTACTTTACAAAATTGATTGAATATTTAATTTCGATGTTTCTATGCATTACTGTACAATAGTTGCAAAATCAAACAATTCTGTCTGCTTTTTTGTGTCTGTGCTTATGGCGACGAATTCAAATATTAAGACCCTCTCAGACATTGAATACATTTGTAACATAGCAAAATAAGGCTTCACTATAGAGATAATTTTATCTTAGCTATAATTGCACCACTTTACATATTACGAAAGCTAAATACATGATTCCAGTCCATTATGCTCTATCTCCACTCCAGTAGGACTTGTCTTAAACTAGGACCATCGAGGCTTATTTAAGACAGATATTGGGTAAGGAAACTTCTTCAGCACCAGGATGCTTTCTCTTATTTTAGTATATCATACTAAAGGCCCTGTTTTGGGGTACTACCAAAAAAAAATTTTTTTGAGGAAATTTAGCCAGGAATTAGACAATTGCTTAATTGGTAGCAGCGTTGCCTGTGTATTAGCTCAGATCCAAAGTAGCGTTACAACGCTTCTTCAAACCAGTTAAACTTGTCGATGAATCCACTTATATTACAAATGGACCCTATGGAAACGTTCGTAAGCTTCTGCATGAAGTATCTGCCTAGTGTCTCATGACTTTTCCGTGCCAATGCCGGACAATCGCAAATATATTAAAACTATATTTCCCTACATTCGTCCAGATTGCAACTACCGCGCCGGGGGTTGTACGAAACACTCATCCTAGCTGCGTGTTCACCAAGTGTCCAGTGATCGTGACTGTTAATATGACGATTTCGGCCAGATATTTCTGACAGTGTGAAAAGTTTGAAGAATGGTCCAGTGTTGTACAAGCTATAATACGAATCGGAAACTGATTTCCCTTTAGATTACCCCGAGTAAACAGTTTATTATAATTGATATTTTTGTAGATTTTGTTATCGATTTTGTTATCGATTTGAGTATTGATTTTATTATCGATATTTTAATCGATTTTGTTAGCGATATTTTTATCGATGTTGTTATCGGTTTTGTTATCGATTTTATTATCGCTTTTTTTTATCGATTTTGTTATCGATTTGGGTATCGCTTTATTTATCGATATTTTTATTGATTTTCGAAACTATTCGGAATTTTAGCAATCTTCGCGACTATATCTGGATTCTCGGGACTACATCGGGATTTTCGAGACATTTTCCGAAGAATTCTCAAAACTCCCGAAAAGTCTCGAAAAACCCGAAATAGTCCAAAAATCCCTAGTTAGTTCCGAAGATTCCGATAATCCCGAAGGTGTCTCGAAAATCCCGAATCAGTCCCAAGGATCCCGTAAATACCAAAGTAGTCTCGAGAATCCCGGAATAGACCAAAAATCCAGAAATAGTCCAAAAATTCCGAAGTAGTCCCGAAGATTCCGAAAATTCGGAAGAAGTCCCGAAAATCCCCAATTTGTCCCGATGATCTTGAAAATCTCAAAGTAGTCTTGAAAATCCCGAAATAGTCCGAAAACTCTGAAATAGTCTATAAATCCCGAACTAGTCCCGAAGTAGCGCCAAATAAGAAGAAGATAAATCCCGAAGTTTCGGAAAATCCCGAGAAGTCTCGAAAATCCCCAATTAGTCTCGAAAATCTCAAAGTAGTCTCGAAAATCCCGGAATAGTCTTGAAGATTCCGAAAATCCTGAAGAAGTTCCGAAAATCCGTCGGATTTCGAAAAACCCGAAAAAGTATCGATAATTCCGAAATATTCCGAAAATCCTGAAATAGATTAAAAGTCTTGAAGTAGTACCGAAGATTCCGAAAATCCTGAAGAAAAAATCCCGAATTAGTCCCAAAAATCCCGAAGATTTTGCTACAACTGAAGTTGAAAGATACTTGAATATCTTATTTTCGTTGTATAACAAAAGTATTATTTAGTTGAAAAATTACAATTCAAATTGATTCGCTCTACAAATGAAATCGAAAATTTTTATTTCTTATTTGGTAGACAAATCAAATCACAAATTAATATTTTTTTTTTGTATTTGGTCAACAATGGAAATCACAAATCAAATGTGTTTCTTAATTGATAGCGGTTTAAATCGTGACGTTGACGTTGCTTCTATCTCTATCAACAGCAAATTTGATATGTTTCTGCGCACTTCTACGATACCTCGCGTTCACGTTCGTGGGTAACCGCGCTCTAACACTTTTGTTTTCTCTTCCAGCGATAAGTGTCCGGGATCAACAGCAACCGAAATTATATGCAAATAACCCTTTCCCACTGAGAGGAGCACACATCTACAAAAAATAAACCATTTGTTCTATTTTGTGGGTTAGCGAATACCCGCTTGCTGCAATGTCTACTTAAAGCCAGGGGATCCATC